ACGCGGTGGATTTTGAAAGGAACTTCTATAAATGTACTAATTTATTTTAATTAAATTTTTTTGAAGTTGCTCTCAATACACTTTTCATCCCTAAAAACTATCCACTTGGCACATTGGTCTGAATGATGATTCTGGTCAGATTTATGTGCCTTCTGAGAACAAAGGTTACAGGTCCTTGCACATTCTACTGCTCGTCTACCTCACAGGCAAAGAAACGCACTGAGAGAGTAAATCTGAGTGGACTCCACTCCAGATGTTCTGCTGCTGGAGAGTGTAATGGGGTCCTGGGAGACACCAGTGCAGATAGCCTGACTGGTGATCTGAGGCAGTGTGTAAACATGCAGAGGCTCAGGGAGGAGGAGAAGGACACTGCAGCTATGCTTAGGCACTAAATTCACAGTTCTACAGACAATTCATACACATCTGGAGAACTAGCAACACGAATGTAATGTAAATCACATGCTACTTACAGGTCCCACCTAAATGGAAGCCAATATTCAAGTGATTGTTTACATTTTCCAGTGTCAGGGATCTCTCTCTCTCTCTCTCTCTCTCTCTCTCTCTCTCTGTGGTATGTCGGTGTGGAATGAGTTATGGCTTCTGACAGCATTTGTTTACAGAAGCCTCTTTCAGCCTGGTACAGCTCTCCACAACACAGCATGTGAGATCTCACCGTCTGAAGAAGGAATTATGCCAGTGTTAATTATTTTATATCAGTTTTTACATGCAAGAGTTGGTGCTAGAATTGAGACTTGGCATTCTTACACGAGTGTAAGAACGCCACAAACGTTTGCGCATATTGTGTGTTACAGCGACATCTAGTGGTTATACTGCTCTTTTTAATTTTATGAATGAACAATTTCTGGGAATTTTTGCGTGTATGGTGGTGTGTGAATGTTGTCCAGAATTGTGTGTCACAGTTGACAGTTAAATTACATAGCCAGCATTTTGAAAAAGTAGTTAGCTAACTTACATGCTACAAGCTAATTATCTACACACTTCAAAAATTTGTTTTTTTAAACGTTTTTTTCCCCCCCTTTTCACTCATGTTCAGAAATACAGTAAAAAAAAATCATTGTAAATAATATGGTGAAATATTATTTCAATTTAAAATAACTGTTTTCTATTTGAATATATTTTAAAAATGCAATTTATTGCTGTGAAGGCAAAGCTGAATTTTCAGCAGCATTACTCCAGTCTTCAGTGTCACATGATCCTTTAGAAATCATTCTAATATGCCGATTTGCTGCTTAAGAAGAATTTTCATTATTATCAATGTTGAAAACAGTTGTGCTGCTTAATATTTTTGTGGAATCTGTGTTTTTTCAGGATTCTTTGATGAATAGAAAGTTTAAAAGAACAGCATTTATTTTAGGAATAAATGGTTTATAACATTATAAATGTCTTTGCTGCTTTTGATCGATTTAATGCATCCTTGCTGAATAAAAGTATTAATTGATTTTAAAAAAAATCTTAAAACACCTTAAAAGTTTGTTACAATTATATGTTTGCAATAAATTATCTATACAGTAGTATATTGTTGTCAAATCAGGAATATAGCTAGAAAACAAGAGAAAATGAATTATGCTTCCTTCTGAATAATAAGCAAATTAGTTAGGATGTCTGGGTGTACATTACTTGATCAAATTAATATTCATGTGTCAGTCTGACAAGGTTAATCCATATGCCCCCCTGAAACTTTTCAGATCATTCCTATTCCTCTAACAGACTCTCTTCATCTCCTCCCTTACCGGATTTGTGTGGTGTGTGTATATGTGTGTTTGCAAGTCTGTATACAGAAGGCCTGGTGTTTGCATTAGACATGCCTGAAGAGCTGTGAAATCTGCTGTATGATTAGTCGCATACAGCTTGACTTTCCTGTTTTTGTAGGCTCTAGCCCATGACACTTCAGACCTCAGTGCAACACGTCACCCTCCATCTCATAGAATTTCCCAACAGTCATAGTGTTACAAACAGTTTTTCCATTAAAAACCCAACAAACCAGTCACACAGCACCATATCTGCAGTTAGCAGATCGAATCTGTAAACAAAACCAGCTCTTCAACTGTAGCCAGAGCTGATAATGTCTGAATGAAATGAAAACGTGTTTAGCAGAAGGTGTGGGGAGAAACCAGCTCTGATGGAGTCCAAGCTGTAGATGAGGTCACTGATTTATGACACCCCATGGTCTCAGCCCATCCTCCCCTCTGCTACGAGGAGCGCTAGTGGCCTCAGGCTCGAATTCAGGAAACTACTGGGGAAGTCGCAAGCGCAGACGTGCTCTCCTCAGGGTTGTGATGAAATATGTGCCGCCGCTGCCCTCTACTTCTCACACGGACCGAACTCTTCTGAACTTCTCCGTCCACGTCACCCAATCCAAATGAGCTTAATCTAGAAATACTCACGTTATCTCTTCTACGACTGCAAAAGAGCCTAGTTTCGGCACGTTCGGGGGCGGGTTGGAAAGTAAAATTTGAGCATTGACTCAAATAACTAATGTTAGAAGCCAAGCGACTCGGTCAGAGAGAGAGAGAGAGAGGGAGGAGAGAGGGAAGGAGTGAGAGAGTGAAAGAGAGTGAGTGGGGGTGGGGGGTTGTCATCGGTTTCTCATTCTGAGGTCTGCTGTGTTCAGAGAGCTGGAGGAAGTGGGAAAAACTCAGTTGGTCCTTTAAGAAAGTCGTGGGCTTGGATCTGGGGACCGCTCCGAACGCGTTCTCTTTTTTCCTCCCCCTGTTACCTCCTAATTTGGGATTTGTTTGGGAGCTGGAGAGCACAAAGTCTGAGAGAGTTTCGCCTTGCAGGGAAAGGTTGCTTTGATCCCGCAGAGTCAGCTTCAAAATGTCTGATTCCAATGTCAATGCGCATTTGGAGGGAATTATCTCAGACTTTGAAGGTTTGTTTTTATTTTTTCTTTATAGGATTCTTTGTAGTTTATAAAGAAAAAGTTGAATTTTAAAGTACAAAACATTCATCAGAATCATTTGAAATTGTTCTATAACTTTTAAATGTTCACTTCAAATGCAAACAGTCAACATAAAGCTGAGTTATTATCAATATCTTTATATTACTGTGTGTGTGTGTCCCTGGAGTCTCTGTTTCTATAGCTGAGTGTGCTGTGGTTGTCACACAGGTCATGTGGCCGTCTAGTGATCTGTGTGTGTGTGTGTGTGTGTGTGTGTATTTGTCGTACACAGTACGTGCTATTCACTCTTTTCTGTAGGCTGTACACACAAACAGTCATGCATGACAGGAAACGTCCTCACTGTGTTAACACAAATGCAACTTTAACCATCAGCACACTGGCCATCATACCTGGCTGCCGTCCGTTCCTCCTGCTCACCTCCTCGAGCGGCACATTTGTATTTCTGTTTTTAATTTTTCATCTGTGTGCTCCTGGCATTGATTTGCTCTGTCACCCCCTCCCCGCCCCCTCCCCCCTTTCCTCTCTCAACACCTCTCATCCAGCTGCGAGAGACCCTGACAAACGCACACGCCTCTCATACACGAGACACATTCCCACTTGTCTGGCTTTTTCACTGTCATCACTTCTCGGAATGCGTTTTGTGCCAAATATCAGGAGGTTAGAGGACAAGGAACGGCATGTGGGTCAGGGCAGGGGGGTCTTCATATGTCAGCTGATGACCTGGTTCACCCAGACAAGAGGCTTTAGCTGTGCACCAGGCCGCTTCTTCATGGATATACACTTTGTCTCAGAGAGAAAGAGATACTTGAATGGATGAGAGAGGGACAGACAGAAAAAAGCCAGACAGTTTGCTCTGGCTTTGAGCTAAAACTTACAGACAAATGAAGGAGGAAATTCCACAGAAAGCGCAGAATTCTGCGGGTGCCGAAAATGGCAGGTTTGCCAGACGTAGAGTTTCACCTCAATTTAGAAGTGTCTTTACGGACCTGAATGGAGCTGTGCTTTTCTGACAAAGCCAAACATTTGACTTAACGGCAAAAGGTCTGGTCCACATTGCAGCATATTGTAGCTAAGAACTGTTTACTTTCTTAAATTCCGGGCAATACTGAAAGTGAATAATTATTTTCATGATATGGGCGATAACAATACATAGCTGATATCAAAATTCAATACTATTTCATCTATATAAATTAAAAATAAAGCATTAAATCAAAAAAATTAGTTGTTTTAAATTCTATGGGTGAATTTAGGCATCATAACATTATAGTATAAAGTATGAAAGATGGATACTCATTTCGAAATTTGCTAAAGATTACATTTTAGCAACAGTGTTAATACATTTTTAGTGCTTTTAAAGAATAACTTGAGTTAAAACATAATAGAAATGAGCATAAACAATTAAATATAAAATTTTGAACGATATGATATGCATGTTTAATTTTGGCAAATAGCAATATACCAATATATTGTGAACCTCTAATAATATGTAAATGAACAAACCACAGTTCATTTGTTTTTATGTGCAATTTAGGGGTGGAGTTATTCGACATAGACTGGTAATAAAAAATAATTGAAAGCTGCAGTCCGTAAGTTTTGCCTCTTTGTTGCCATCACTGTTTGAAAACCTGCAATTGCAGCTGTGTGCGGAATTATCTAGCTTGTGTGGGTTGTGCGGTTGCACGGCTCCAGGGCGGATGAATCTAATGTTTTGAGGAGTATGTGTGTGTGGCAGTCAGTCACCGCACCGGTGTGGATATTGTACTTTGCACTCACAGATTCTAGCCTACGTCTTGGAAAATATGACTCAAATAAGGATTTTCACCAGATATTGTCATCTGAACAAGTAAGTAACATGTCTGCCACGTTTGTTCTGACCAACTGAGGAAAAAAGCATTACAATAAATCGCGCTACCAATGGTGGTGATTAAATCTAAATTAGCTCATATCACATCAAACCGTGCAAATTATTATTATTGTTATACTTTATTCTCAAATTGTTAATGTTAACAACATCAGCATTGCGTGACTATGAGTATAGTGTGTATAAGCGAGTAGATTTATGTGATATAGCCTAGTAGCCGGGACAATTTCTTTATGTTTACAGACGTGACGTAATGACGCAGCGGCATGCTCGAATTTCCCGCGAAAACCTACCCGTACCACTCAAATTAGAAAAATGTATTATAAGCTAACCGTTGTGAATCGGGCTAAAGTAAGGCGATAGTTTGGAAAACTGGCTGGTTATGTACTTGCTCAAATATTGATTTCGGATCATTTTTAACCAAAAAAGTTACGGACTGCAGCTTTAAATAAAGGTGCAGCAGTCTTGTTTTTTTTTTTTTCATTTTACATAAAATATTTTTTTAAAAAGCAAATATATATGCAGTTCTGCTTGTGGATATATGTGCACTTGCTATTAAGCTTGCCAAATCAAGAGTTTTTTTCCCAGTTTTTTTAGTAGTATGCAGCAAACTGTCAGTGAACCATCTGTGGGCGGTTTCAGGCTGAGACTAAACCAATGCAGACACATTCAGTGTCATTCATAAGTAAATACTGGAGTGAGTGTGCTTAGATAATCAAGACAGATAGAAACACATTTGTTTATGTGTTTGTTTTCAGACTACAACAGCTCTAGACCAGCCAAGTATTTATGTGTCTCTAAATGGGTTCTGTTGGAGTGCTCTGGATGACCTAAATTGGCACCTTTTTGGTCATTTCATGGACACATGACAACTATTTCAGACTTGGACTCATTACATTGCTAACAAATAAGACATTAGGAGGGGAAAGCACTCTCATTATACTGTGACCAAACCACTTTCATGTTGTTGCATGTAAAGCTAAAGTCTCTAAAGTCGTCATCAAGCGTGGCTATTTGCAGAGCTTATAGGCAGGACTGACCACACTATAAAGAGAAGTATGCACTTTATAGTGTGGTTCTGTGCAACGTTACCTCAGGGTGGGAAAAGCGTCACAAAGTCCATTAGCTTTGGTTAATGGCTAGTAAATAAACAAGCAAATTCTAGGCTAACTTTCACATGAAGATATGGTAATCCTTTAATTATTGCTGGGAAAAAAACTGTTTAGACCAGTATGAATTTACCAGCAGGTCTAACTGAAGAACTAGCATAATTTCAAAACCTTGCTGGTGATGCTTGTCAACCAGCATGTTCTTTTTAATAAAGCTAGATGACTAAAAAAATGTCTTGCTAGTTAAGAATCCTAGTGGGAAACCAGTGCACAGCATATGCTATGTTAGCAATGCTAGTTTTCTCATCAGGTTAACAGCTCCCAAAGAAAACCAATGAGACACTAGCACTGTCCTGCCAATGACCGAACACATCACTTACAGCCTAATGCTGTTTTACACTTTCAGAGAAGGCTTGTGGTTGGGAACGGAGCAATAAATGACTTCCATTTATTCAGTGCTGGCCTCCGCACAAGGAAATGGGCTTAATATATGAAGCTCATAACTTGTGAAATTCATAACTGTACTTTTTAAGTGTGAACATACTGATATACTCCCTGGAAACATATGTGCTATGTGCATGTGTTATGTTGAGCAGTCACATGACCATGGAGTTTATGGCCATCTGTAACGTAAAGGATATTAAAAGTTCTCATTTATGAAACTTTATGAATGTCCTCAAGCTTATCATAATAAGCCAGACCAGTTAACCCTTGCTAAGCTGTAGTACATGTGAATGTGTGACTGTTATGAGTGTTGGTTTAACTCTGAGACTGGTTAAGACTGGTTATGATGCACTTACTGTCTCAAAAACATTGCATTATCATTTCAAGTAGATGTGTGGGTGTGTATGGGAGGGGTGACAGTCTGGTAGGGGAGGTAAAATAGAGACAGGAAAAGTTCATAAAAATAGAAATAAAAGAGAGGTGCATGAGAAAGAGAGGTCACTGATAACAGTTGTGTCACATGAATTTTCATACCATTTTCCCAAGTCTTAATCCAAGTCCTGATTATTTTTTGCCTTTCTTAGAAATGGCCTTGAAAAGAGATCTGCACACTTACCAGCACCTACTATATTTGGGGTTGAATTAACTAGTCAACTTGTAGACTAGTTGATTATCCAGTCAGGAAATCCAGTTTTGGTATCTGGCTTTACTAGTCGAAAATAGTCATTAGCTGGTTGACCAGTCAGCATTCTATTAAAAAAAAAAAAAAAAAGCTTTACTGTCTTAAAGAAAAAAAACAACCTAAAAATTAAAATTGTGTCTTCAGGTTGTGTGAGAGCAAATGCATCTGTGTGAGTTTGTACGTGTTTACTCAAAGCTGCAGCTGTGTGTAGGGAGAGAGAGAGGGCTCTTATGTGTTTTCGTGCGGCCCATTTCCCACCACAGCCTGAGGCTGTGTCACACAGCTCCCAAACTCTCGCAGATCAGCAAGGCCAAACATATCATTACAGCAGAATCACACTCTCTGTTTGTATCCTGTTGTTTTTGCCGGCACATACCTCAAACACCTCTGATTCTTCTGGCTGGGCAGATGTGACTGTGATAATTACGACAGATTGCTCTTGTCTGAGATTATAGTTGAACTGTTATGATCATTTCTGGACCAAATAGCTATCAAAATACCCACTTTTATTTTAGTTAGTGGAGCTTGGTCAGGGAAGCATCACTTTCGCAATTTAGACACAAACAAAATATTAAAATGGACAATATATCCCATAGATTTACACTAAGAGGACTAGATTAACAATGGCTGAGACTTATAGTAAACAACTACCTTGCAACAACCCAGAACAGAACGAATGCATCCGAAATAGAACACTTTTATAGGCTAGTGTGCGAAAAACAGTATGTGAATGTGAATGTCTGTATTCATAGTATCTGAAAACAGTATGACTTACTACTTCCGGTGACATTTTTATATACACATTTGATGAACACATGGGGGAGAATTTATAAATGGCAGTGAGGCAACACATCTGATGCTGTAGGTCATATGACCATATCAACATGGTGGATGTAGTACATCCAAATTTCATTCATACTATCCATATTCATAATAAACTTTTTAACGTTCGTGAAGTAAGTTCAAATTCAAACGTCATACTTACTCAAACAGCATGCAATTTCATATGCAGTGTCTTCCTACCAACTGCATAGCAATGAGGTAAACATCACTTAGAACACGCAAGTTGTGTCCCAAATGACGTACTATACATAAAATATGTACTCTACTATCAAGTGTATGATTTTTGAGTTATTTTGTCATCCAGCATCCGAGTCTGACATCCCATCCCCTTCAGTTATTATTTTTTGGATAAATGCATCATCTGGGTATTTGAAGCACACTTCTAGTTTGAATTTTCAGGGTGAGCACAGCACTCACACTATTCATACTACAAAATGGCACAGAATAGTGCATAATAAGTACACAATGCTACTTAAAGGGATAGTTCACCCAAAAATGAGAATTCTGTCATTAATTACTCACCCTCATGTTGTTCCAAACCCATAAGACATTCGTTCATCATCGGAACACAAATTAAGATATTTTTGATGAAATCTGAGAGCTTTCTGACCCTCCATAGACAGCAACACAACTACCATGTTCAAGGCCCAGAAAGGTAGTAAGGACATCGTTAAATAGTCCATGTGACATCAATGGTTCAACCGTAATTTTATGAAGCTACGAGAAAACTTCTTGTGTGCAAAGAAAACAAAAATAATGACTTTATTCAACAAATTATTCTCTTCCGTGTCAGTCAAATGTAGTTCAATTATATAGGCCTTTTCTTAAATTTATTTCATTTCAGTGCATTTTATGATCTAGTTTTTGAAACCACGGAGAGACAGAGGTTTGAAGTCAGACACAATTGAAGCTCTCATCAAATGTGTCTAGCCAGCTCACCCTGTCAGAAATACACATGCACCATACTGAGATGAAGATTCTTATGTAAGAGGTCATGTGCTTGTTTTGGCTGTAGTGCACTGTATGGTTTTTATACTGTACTTTATAGAGTCCAAAAGCACAGAGCGATTGGACTACACAGTAAAATCTGCCTGTAATCATTGACTTCCTGTCTGTGAATGAAAAGGTTGTTTGACGACAAATGCTGAGAGAGATTTATCCTGTTGTACATCAAACTATTATGATTCATCTGTGTATGCTTCTATATAGCATTCAGTGCCAAGTATATTATTGCCTGGACTGAAGCAACAAGACAGACAATGTCTCTTCCTGTTTAACACATATTCACAATCAGTTTCCGTTGAGCCATAATCCTGCCCAAGGGATTTTGTGTGTGTTTTGTTGATTATGTCTGGTATAATCACAGAATGCATAATGCGCAGTTATTCAGTGCATGCAGGATTCCATTTGAATCCAGCCACACTTTGAAATGACAGGAAATTATATCATCAGGGCGCAGCTTAAAAGAAAGCCCCCTCTGAAGATGACTCATGAGAAAAATGGTGATTCTCTCCTCTGGCTCATGAGAAAAAGCAAAGCAGTTCAAAATAAATGTATGTTCTAAGCCTGAATTGAGAGTGTCACATGTCCAATCATAACACCAGTGGTGTAAGGGGAAAAAAACATCACTCAACCACTCAAAAATGAAACAAATGCCTGGCAGGCCTCTTTTCCTTATCCAAATGCAAGGGTACTGTAAAACAGGACCAACGGCTTCCATCCTTTCCTGCTGAACGGAGGTCAGTTTTCCTGTGTGTTGGAAGAAAATGGATCCATGTGTGCTGTGTTATGATAAGCATGTCACTGAATAGCATGACGTAAAACGTAGAGGTACATAATGGACACTTAGCCTATATGAGACAGTGGACGTCCTGAGAAACACTGGACCTGCCCTACTTAAAGATCTGAATTATCACCTGCTCTTAAATGTAACAGATATTTTGACGCATCTGTCCATAAATGAAATCCAGCAGGGTCCAAAACAATATTGGTCCCCCTGTCATTGTACAGAATTAAAAAAAAAAAATAAAAATAAAAATAATAAACCTTCCAAACACAGAGACGTTTTTTCAAATCATCTTTTTGTGTGTGTTATATTTTTGGGTGAACTATCCCTTTTTTAGTGTTATCCCCTATTTTAGTGTTTTTTTG